TAAGCGCCGCGTCGCCGTCTAACGGATAAACATTGGTACGGAACCCATAGGAATGTAAACAAATTTATACTTATTGTTAAAATCTCTATAAAATATCTGATAATTTGATGTGCATATGTCTAATGTCTAATGATTATTGTTGACCGCCAAATAGTATTTTTTTTTAGTTTTTTTCACTAGATCTCAGAAACCGCTAGACCTATCTTCATGAAAATTTGAATCTAATATTTTTTGAATTAGTCAAATCGCTTCATCCGTATAACCGAAATCGTCGACAAAAATTTGTATCCGAACACACACACATACACGCACACACACACACGCACATACACACACACACACACATACATCAATTTTTTTTAAGGCATGCCAAAATGTTCAGAAGGTTTTAAAACGTAAAAATATATAAAAAAAACGATTTTTTTGCGATTACTATAACTTGCTCTACGAGAAGTTAATTATAAATAAATCAATTTATCATCTCCATAACATTAACAATCGTCATTTCATTTCGAATTAAATTTCAAAAAAAAATAGTTGCCAAATTTACACAAAATTGAAAAAGTGCTCCCGCATAGTCACAGTCTGCACGCATTTGCAAATAATTCTGTGCGACATTTTCACTTATACTATGCTTAGCTTGGCGGCATTTTCACATTTTTCAATAATTTTCACAAAATTGGAAAAGTGCTCCAGTACATAAACAGTCTAAACGCACTTGCGTGAACATTTCTACCAGAGTGGCGCTTAGACTGTGCTTAGCCTGGGTGATTTTTTGAATTTTTAATCCAAAATTACAAAAAAAATTTTTGAAAAAAAAAATTAGAAACAAAAAGTTTTTTTTTCCAAAATCAATTATTTTGTTGAAAGAAGCAGAATGTTCTTTGAATCATTTAAATCGGACGCTTAGTTCTCTCAAAAACAGCCATTTTTTTAACATTTAGCTCTGTATCTCCGAAACCTCTGGGCCTACCTTTGCCAAAAACTAATCAGCACATCTCCTTATCAATAGGAATCGAATGTTTTTTAAACCATTCAAATCGGTTGATCCGTTCTCTCAAAAACTCGCTTTCTATTTTTTGCACTCTTTGCTCCATATCTCCGTAACGGCTGGACCTGCCTTCTCCAAAAACTAATCAGCACGTCTCCTTATCAATACGAATCGAATGTTTTTTAAACCATTCAAATCGGTTGATCCGTGCGCCCGAAAACGTGGACGAAAAAACGCGGACATACAAAACACACACACATCCATTTTTTCTGAGGTATGCCAAAATGTTCAGAAACCTTCAAAACGTCGAGAAATGTAAAAATTTTTGATTTCGATTTTTGGACGATTACTATAACTTACCCTACGGGAAGTTAAAAAATAGCACTTTTTGAGAGAACGAAACATCCGATTTGAAGGATTAAAGAATTTTATTTGTAATGACGAAATGAAGAATTTATCAAATTTTCACGAAGCCAGCGGTTTTCTGGATAGCAGGTAAAAGTTAAAAAAAAAGTCATTTGGTGATCAAAAATTAAAATTACAAATCTTATTATTGACTTATATAGGAATAGAATTATTGTTACTACATTCTGGGCTAGTAGATAAGTAGACTAGTAGACAAATAGAAAAATATGAAAAGTAGAAAAATAGATAAGCATATAGGAAGATATACAATTAGCCAGGTAGGTAGGTTGACAGATTGGCAGAAAATAGAAAGGTAATGATAGATAGTATAGCAACCAGAGAGGTAGAAAGGTAGACATAGAGACAGGTAGGTCAGTGGGCAGTTAGGCAGGCATATAAACAAATAGGAAGACTGGTAGTAAGTATAGTGGTAATCAGAAAATACGTGGACTGGTAGACTGGTGGACAAAAATAATATATTTATACATAGAAATTAAAAGTTATAAACACGTTTATTACATGAATTCCAAAAATCCGCAAATAATTTATGATAGTTTAATAATTCAATTTTAAATCATTGATCAATTTTTATTAATCATTGATTATTTTCATTCCTCGAATATTTAATTACGGTACAGAAGGTACCACCACTATTTCAAAAATAAAGTTTACGCTTATATAAATAACTAGCAAACCCGACGAACTCCATTTCGCCACCAGATGGTTTCGTGAGAAAGATGAAAAATTTTTTTGTTTGTTTTATATTTGAAAAGGAAAAATTTGATTTTATTACACAACAGTAATGAATTTATTTCGATTACAAAAATAAAGTGTTTTTTAGTTGAACTTCTCTAAAAAGGAGAACCCGCGCGTTGCTCGTCTCGGATTTTGATGAAACTTGGCACATTGGTAGATTTGATGCCCAAACTGACCGTGGTAAAATATTAGAGGCCTATGAAAAGCGGTTTAATTATAATAATTAATTAAAGTTTGCATGTAGCAGCGCGCTGCATGCATAGCTTGCAATGTTTTTCCTTATTAGCAGCAGATTGGCCGAGTCGCTATCGTCGTGGAATTCTAATTTTTGCTCCGGGGTTCGATTCCCGATTCAGATATATATATTTTTTTATTTTTTTTTTATTTGATATTTATAATTTCACGTGTAAATAATATCAAAATTTATTTGATTTTTCAATTAATTTTATATTTTTCGCTAAATATTCTATAATAAAGTCCTCCGTAATACCGGTAAATTTTTGTATTAATATCAGCAATAATACGGAAAAAGAGATATAATTTATTTCCATGTAAAAACTATGTTCAAATTTACTATTATGAGGATGATACTTTGTACGTTTGACCAGCCCAAGAATCTAATATTAATATAAAAATCCTTTTCGACATATGACTTGAAAACATTAATAAAATTTATTCACTGCAGCACAATCTCCACGATCCCCACAATTGTAAATTTGAACATAGTTTTTACATGGAAATAAATTATATCTCTTTTTCCGTATTATTGCTGATATTAATTCAAAATTATAATGTTTCAGGAATCACTTAACATTTATATGATCGTAAGTTTCGTAAGTAATATCAAAATAAAATTTACCGGTATTACGGAGGACTTTATGATAGAATATTTAGCGAAAAATATAAATTAATTGAAAAATCAAATAAATTTTGATATTATTTACGCGTGAAATTATAAATATCAAATAAAAAAAAAAATAAAAAAATATATATCTGAATCGGGAATTGAACCCCGGAGCAAAAATTAGAATTCCACGACGATAGCAACTCGGCCAACCTGTTGCTAATAAGGAAAAACATCGCAAGCTATGCATGCAGCGCGCTGCTACAATGCAAACTTTAATTAATTTTTATAATTAAACCGCTTTTCATAGGCCTCTAATATTTTACCACGGTCAGTTTGGGCATCAAATCTACCATTGTGCCAAGTTTCATCAAAATCCGAGACGAGCAACGCGCGGGTTCTCCTTTTAAGTAAATGAAAGTGAATCCGCATACTATATCCGTTTCAAGGAAGTGATCTTTGGTAAACCACATTTTTTGTTTTTTGGTCTGACGTTAACACAAACAAAGCGGATGGTTTTCCAACTCGTGAACAGGCAATGTATAACTGCCTATGTGAAAAACAATGATTTTCTAAATAATCTATTTGAAATTTATCCCGCAAACACTAAGCGATTGGCCTTGCGACTTGTTATTGCGAACGCAAGGCGAACTGGAAATTGCAATCGTTCAAATTCAAACCAAATTGCCAGCAATTTTTGATTGAATAGTGAAATTCAGTGCGTGTACATCATTATACTCTGCGGCAAAAATTGTTTGTTGACTTAACCAAGCATAATTCTGATAATTCTCACTAATGTCATTACGCGAAGTACCAGCAATTTGCATTAAGGCACGATGCCATGCACCACTAATTTTCTTAGCTATAAACCTTGCGGATCTCGAGACGAATGCAAAATTGTCGAAATCGTTTTATGCGTTCTGGAGTTATTTCGTCAGGAAGGAAAACCCGACTTATTTTTATATATATACGAGGTCTGTTCAAAAAGTACCCGGAATTTTCGTTTTTTCAAAAAATATTTATTTATTCGTCTACATTAATGTGGTCCCCTTCAAAGTAGTCCCCCCCAGATATAATACACTTATGCCAGCGTTTTTTCCAATTTTCGAAGCACCCTTGATATTCACTTTTTGATATGTCCTTGAGCACTCTCAGCGATTTTCTTCAATCGAGGAAAACCGCCGTCCTTTCATGGGTCTCTTCAACTTTGGGAATAGGAAAAAGTCACACGGAGCCATATCTGGTGAATTTTTGCACTTTGCAACACTTTATTTCATTTTTTACGCAAAATTTAATACAAATTCTTTGACTTTTCAATTCTTCCATTGTAAAAATCGCCGAGCTTAGAAAAACACGTCGAACCTTAGCGACTACCACAGACAAAGTAAACAGTGAATATAGCTGAAAATTTCATCATACTTTAGGGGCATGTATACCAACACAATAACAAAAAAATTTTGACAATCAGACAATCTTTAATGAATTTTTAAATTCAACCACTTATGGTAAAACTATAATATTTTATGATGTTCGATTATTTAGACTATGATTGCCATTATATGTTTCACTAAAAACGCAAAAAAATCAGCATTTCATAAAGATACGGCCAGATCGATATAACTAATCAGCATGATTCACAAAACTGGTATCTTCCGAACCAATCTTGAATTTTCAAAATCGATTCAGGATTTTATGCAAGAACGTGGATAAAACTTTTGGCACCTATCTGCTAATTCTAAAGAAAAGCTCGCTCGATTGTCTCGAAACACTGACTAACGCGGGTGCTTATCGAAATGGTTTTTAAATTTTTTAAATCGGTTAAGCCGTCTTTTCACTTATACTTTTTCCCAATTTGGTTACAAGCTATTCAAATTTGCTTGAAACATCGGGAGAACATAAAAACAAGGCCGATTTCTGTCAAAACCAAACTTTTCCCAACAATTTCAGTATTTGACACTTTGTATAATTAATAAAGACAATAAAATAAATAAAACTAATACTAACATGATCTACCCCTTGACTTGTGTAGTTTACCAACTCAAAATACTGCGGTATGGTTAACAAATTAATCATACTTTTCTTCATGGTTTTGAATCGAATCAAGAGCTTGGGCAATACTGGTATTAAATGTTCGGTCATGCTCAATTGATCTGCTTGCATTTGATTTTTCTTCTTTAAGTTGATTATCTGAGAATATGAAAATTAATATTAAGTGCATGTATTTATTGTTGTCCTTATAAAAAATCGTGTCAACATTGTTTGAATTGACAGAGAACTGCATGTATAGCCCAAACACTACACAATATTACCGTTTTGTTGGTTGCTCTATCCCACGGATGTTCACAAGTTGTCGCAAGTCTTGCACACCAGGTCATGATTTCAATTAGGACTTCTTCTTCAGTTAAAGTCAAACATTGATCAGTATTATCAGCTCTTTCTGTGAGAAGATGTATCATTGATTCCCAATCTTGCATCACTGAGTGTTCCTCAAATAAGGCGTCCACTAGATATGGAACATAATCTGGTCTCTAATCAAAATATAAAAAGTTATGACAGACAAGATAATCAGAAATATATTACCTATTTGTTATAATAAGTTTCAATAAGCTGACTTTTCTACTTACCTCCAATTTTATGAAAAACTGTAAAAGATATCGAATCCAACGTATATTAGATTGAGCATCTCTTCGAGAATCCAAATTATTTTTAGACATGTTCTCTTGATCCACTTTCAGAATGCACGCGTTCAAAAATTTACCTGCGGCCAATGCAACCTTACGATTGGAAGAAAGTACTAATTTGCAAATATTTTGGATGTCTTCTGGTGTAAATCGATCACGATATAACCTAGACAGAAATTAGTTATATCAACGCTTCGGATATATAAAAAATTTATCAAGACTGTAAAACAATATTGAATTAAATGACATAACAAGTCATTGCACTCAACGTTATAGTTAGTGGACAGTTATTTTTTATTGAAGTCAAATTTCTTTTATTTGACCTTTGAACAATTTTTCCAAACAGGTTAGTTATTATTGACAATTGATTTAAATAATACATATACTTTGATGAATTTTTAAAAATAATGTCTTATGATAAGACAGTAAGACATTGTAGAAAACAATTAATTGCGAAGAAACTGCCCGGCCGCTATTTTCCAAAAACTAAAACTATCAAATTACATCAAATGACTTTCAAATCTTTGAAACTGTTACTGCAATTTTTGGAAAAACGTCAATCAAAGGTCAAATATCGGCTAAAACACACATACATATTTTCTCCAAATTTAGTATCAAACAATTAATGATGACATCTCAATGAAATCATGTGACATATCAATTCAAAGTAACACATGTGTTCACAATGTGCTGGACTGTGACCTAATTGAGTGATATTTTATTTACCTAAACATGTTGGTGATCACCTTAACAGCTTCCACTTGGTTGTTCAATTCCTCATCCCAAGCAAGGACAATTATTCTTTCTTTAAATTTAGTCGTAAATAAGTCTAATTTGGTTGCGAGTTGATCGTCTTCATATAATGGTGTTAATGCTTGTAAAGATTTTAAACGAACCACACCAACCTAAGGATTAATAATACTAATATATAATATGTAAGCATATATATATATATATATATATATATATATATATATATATGTGTGTGTGTGTTTTTTTATTTTAGTTTAATATTCGGGCGTAACATCAATAAAAATAGTATGAGAGTTTTTTTAAAAGTTTATTTTTTTAAAATCCATACGTTTCGGCTAGCATCTTAGCTAGCGGCTTATTTATTTCATTAACGATAGAAAGTTGCATTAAAAATATACACAACTTCAGAAATACCATCGCAAAAATTACCAATTGGCTGTTTCGTACAGTTGAGTCCGAAATTGTTAACGATTTTCTCCACTTCGAGAATATTAAAAACAATAAACATTCCATTAACCTAAAACAATTTTACAAAAATAAATTTAACAAATTATTACAAAATAAAATAGAACATAGTAAAATAACTTTAGATGAAAACGTCATCAACAAATGGCTAAAAAACTTCTCATCCATTGAGATCCCAGATAGACTTCGATACATTTTTGCATTAGGCCCCATTTTTGCTGTTCCCAACTGTCCTAACAATTTTAATTTCATTAAATTACTCTCGAACTTAGAAAATGGTTTACAGCAAATTAAAGATCCTAAACTGAAATCTCATACCAGAACTCTTCTTTGCAAAAAATTTATTTCGTACATCAATTCTTTCAATATAAAAAATTCGAAATATACTGACATTCTTAGAGATCTCAAAAGCTGTGAATTATTTTTAAAAGACCATCCTGACATCATTGTGACAAGAGCAGACAAAGGTACGTCACAGTTATACTTGACAAAGAGGACTATTTACAAAAATTACTGAATCACTCTCAGACACCAGTACCTACACGACCATAAACAACGACCCAACCGAACACATTCCTTCGAGCTTGTCAAACTTCTTAATAATATTTCCATTCCCAATAATTATAAACTAATTAGACGTTATATCCCTATTTACAAATGTCCCACTAGACTTAATACTAGACGCCATCATTAGCAGATGGAGCGAAACCAGCCTTCACACCACATTATCCTTACATTGGTTTAGAGAAATCATCAAATTCATTGTCTCTAACACCTATTTTGAATTTAATGGATCATTTTATTACCAAATTTTTGGCACTCCAATGGGATCTCCCGCATCTCCGTCTTTAGTAGAAATTTCCTTGCAATTAGTAGAAAACAAAATATTTAAAAATTATAATAAACAAATCTTTTATTACCGCTATGTAGACGATATTATTACTTGTATTCTGGAAGAAGACATTAACATAGTTACTGATAATTTTAACAATTTTAATAAAAAAACTACAGTTTGCCGTGAAATTAGAGACAATGAATTCGATTAGCTTTCTAGACATCAGACTAATACGTACAAATGACCACCGACTAATTACTAACTGGTACCAGAAACCAACTAGCTCCGGACGATACATAAATTACCACTCATACCACCCTCTTAAAATGAAAATAGCGACAATAATAAATTTAACAGACCACGCCATACTACTATCTGACAAAAACTTCTGGGACACGAACATTGACCTGGTAATAAGCACACTGAAAAACAACTCATATCCTACAAACATAATCAACTCGGTCATAAATAACAGACGCAGTTACATTTTTAACAAACAAAACGACCTCACAGACCTTAAAAACCGCTTAGAATGGAGTCATATACTGGTGTCATTTACCTACCGTAGGTAAAAAATTTATATTTCTCGTGGAAAAAACTATTTCAACAGTGTGGCATTCTATTGGTATGTAATTGTGATGCAACCCTTAGTTCAATTTTTACACAAATTAAATCTAAGTTCAATTTTGACCGCCTCAGGAATTTGGTATATCAGATTAATTGCTCTAATTGCGAACTCTTTTATATTGGAGAAACTAGCCAAAACCTGAGTAAACGCCTTCATCAACATAAAAATAACTCAAAAAATCCTAAGCAATTTAAAATGATGTTAACTGAGCATATTAAAAATTTAAATCATAATATCGATTTTTTCAACCCTAAAATTTTACATTTTGAAGAGAATACAATTAAAAGACGATTCGCTGAGAGGTTGTTTTTGCAATTACATAACGACAGGGTCATAAACAAACGCTTCGACAATACGGCCCTGAACGAAACGAACACGTGGTTTCTTAATAGCGTCTCAAAATTTCTTAAAAAATAACAAAATCCCATCGCTTTTTAAATTTTCCAAAAAATATCAACACATGCTAAAAACTGCTTTGAGAAAAATGTGACATTTCTATCCTAAACCCCAAAGAGTAAATACATAGTTTCGACAACTTGTTAAGTTATCATGGTTATTAGTGTGTTTTACCATTTGTGATGTTTGTGTTAAAAATATATATCTTATCAATGTGCACGTACTCATACCATGGATTAATAATGGTTTCATATGCTATATTAGGATACAAAATTGTAAGTGTTTTATCATTATTATTATTATTATTATTAATGTTTTTCCATGAAATTTCCTTTCATATAATTTATTTAGTTTCAATTTTTATAGTTAATTTGATTACCACTGAATGATGGCTAAGATGCTAGCCGAAACGTATGGACTTTAAATAAATAAACTTTTAAAAAAACTCTCATACTAGTTTTATTGACGTTACGCCCGAATATTAAACTCAAATTAAACATATATATCAACATCAAATTCAAAACTATTCAATATATATATATATATATATATATATATATATATATATTCTTATGTATAAAATTCTTCTGTAACAATGTAAGTTTCATTAATCCTCCTAAACTATAATTCGGTTTTCCATGAATCTCTCTGAAGTTTGTTTGGGAAATTTTCTAGAATGTTTTGATTCATAGAAGTATAGTTAGATTGTAGGAATAAATGGAAAAAATTACAAAAAACCGCTTATCATTGTTTGACCTTTAAAATATTTAAGGCATGGTTTGACATTAAAAACAAATGACAACTGTCATTTGCCAAACATTTCTATTCACTTATAGGCTAAGGCAATATTAAAGTATAATAAATTCATGATTAAAAATAAAGAAAATGTAATGTCTACATTATTATTGTCGAAAAGAAGCTGAGATGTGCCATAATTAAAATAATATAAGATGCACATAATATAACATGCGTCTGGCAGTCTGCGCATGCGTCTGACTCGCACGGCGAATCGTGTTCTCAACGTACGCGTGCTTTGCTTTTGCTTGCAATAATTTTGTTTGCGCACTTTGCGAACAGATTCGCCGTACGAATTCGTGCAAAGGAAACGAGGCATAAGTGATTGCGCTCAACAATATTCAATTTGCAGTCGTTTTGCCTTACTATACTAAGTCACAATACAAAAAAAATTATTTAGAAGTTTCATTGTGTCAAAAATTCATATGGTTGGCATTTTGTACGGAATATTTATTCAATGGAGCGCTTTGGGTCTGAACTTTTTTTTACTGTTTTCCAATTCGTTTGGAATTTTGGAATTAGGCTCATCTTACTCTCTAGTTCAAAAGTGAAAACAATTTAGACTCCTTTGCACTACCTGGGGGGATGCCATTTCTTTTCAGTGGTGTAATAACGTTGGCAGTGGATAAAAGAACTAATTATAAGAGAAAAATGTTTAATAATGTTTTTCAAAAAAGCAAATACTTTTCAAGTTACTGGCTACTGAAAATTTGTTTCTTTTTGTGTTTGTCATCGTTTTTTTGCTAATATCTTCAAAAATATACATTTTAACGAAAATCATGTAATGAACAAAATTATATCAATAAAAATCCTAATAAATCGCTATTTTACAGTGTTCTAGGAACAATATTAAGTTAATTATGAAAATGGGTTTTTATAGTTCTCAAAATAAGCTTTAAAAGAAGTACTTCTGCGTGTAAATTAAGTGAGCTATCATGCAATTAAAAGGCGCATACAATGTTTTTTTTTTTTCATTTAAATCAAATAGTTTATGAGTGCCATTTCCACCAAAATTAAAAATAAACGTTTTCCATCTAGAATTAACTTGGTTTGAGAAATCTTGATGGATTCTAGAAAATACCATAACATTAGTACAAACGATTTTCAAAAAACTCACGATTTCATAAAAAAATCCATAGAATACGTATAAAAGTATATATATATATATATATATATATATATATATATGAAAATTCAAGGTATTTTTCAGACTAACTATTGTTTTTTATTATTTTTTCGTTACACAAATATTTCGAGCCCTTTAACCCTTCGCCGTTTCAAAATAAGAGAAGTTACGGTAAAATTTATGATAGAGAAAGTTGTAGCTCATTTAATCACCTTTAAAATAGTATATTACAAGTTATGATAAAATCAGAATTAAAAGAGTTATACTCCAATTAATGCGGGGGATGGTGACGAAATGCAAATTGTTTTCACTTCTGAACTTTAGATTAAGATTAGCTGGGCATACGCTTTTTTCCTCTCGATTTACTGCAATAATTTTGTTGATAGTAGGTTGAATAGAGCACATGTGAACAAAACTTGACAAATTAATTCACTTCAAATATGAACTTAAGTAATAATGTATATTGAATTATTAGCGTGAAACATGCAATTTAGATATTAAAATACTAAAAGCAAGTTAAAATATGGTACGAAATCTTAAAAATTGTAGGCAACATTATTGAAGCAATTATTTTGGGTAAAAAAATCGAAGGTGATATTGTACCTTGACCGCATGCTATATATTAATTCTTTCTGAATTTGTTATATTTTTTAAAAGATTTCAATAAATACATGGTGATAAATTTGGAAAATCATTGTTTTAGCCGTCAATAAACAAAAAATCATTCATTTAAACATCCACATCTACAGGTATGTCTAAAAATATTGTATGACCCTTAAATTTAATAAAATAAATTGAGCTATTGGAAATAAATTTGTTCTATAAATCGCAGTGTATAATTTTTAATATTTTATTGAATATATATTTTAATATTTGTTAAAGGAATAATTAAAGTGTTAACTGTGGGAATTGAGAACAATCATTTTATTTGAAACAGTTCTACATTCAACATCACTCATATATTGGTGTAAATAGTAATTCAAAAAACAGTAATTATTATTTTTAACTAAGCAGTAAATATTAGTATAAAATATTGAAAAATTGTAGACGTGGGTACAGAACAACGTCTGTCGGGTCAGCTAGTATATATATATATATTGATGAGTTATTTAGAATCGGGCAGTAACACCAAGTATGATAGATATTTGTTTTAACTTGCTAGATTATCAAATATTATAAATCACATGACCACATACTGCCCCCCTATTGGTTCGAACAAACAAATCTATCTACAAAAATAGCGCACATTCTAACTTTTCCATGATTGCATTTTGTCGACTTGACGACCAGCATACTAGCCAGCAGACCAAAAAAGCAACAAAACAAGCCTCGTGTGATTCGGACTTTGAACGTTCGCTATTTTTGTGGATGGATTCGTTTGTTCGAACCAATAGGGAAGCATAATTTTGACATGTGGTTTATCACATTTAAAAACCTAGCAAGCTAAAACAAATATCGCTCAGAGCAAGCAAGCTTTCTCGCATCGTGTGATTTGAACGGCTTGAAAAACTGTCATGAAATCTAGCACGACATAATCAAGCATGCTATCCAGCCCAGAAAACAAGTGTCGTGTGATTCGGGCTTAATATTATTTTTACTGAAAAGTTTTTTTCACGGCTAATGTAATTCTTTAATGAATGTATTTATATATATACATATATATATATATATATATATATATATATATATATATATATATATATATATATATATATATATTAATTTGGAAATATGAACAAACAACACTCTTTTTTGCACTAATTTATTAAATAATAATTTTCACAAACGTTTCGAGACTAGGTTTTCACAAACGTTTCGAGACTAGGTTTGTCTCATCATCAGTGTGTTATAATTTAAAATTTAAAATATGGAAACCTAAATTAGCATTTTGTGTTATCCATTACAAGTCGCTCGATACACTTGTAATGAAGACTTGTAATAATATGTCTTCGGAGTTTAAGACAGACAGACGGACATTTCTATCTTAAACTCCAAAAAGTGAATACATAGTTTCGACACTTGTTAAGTTATCATGGTTATTAGTGTGTTTTACCATTTGTGATGTTAAAAAATATATAATTTATCAATGTGCACATACTCATACCATGGATTAATAATGGTTTTATATGCTATATTAGATAATAAAATTTTAATTTGATTACCACTGAATGATGGCTAAGATGCTAGCCG